TTTTTTGGTTCTCAATTTTTTTTTGGATCCATTAGCATTAGTTCCCAATAATCTTGTCTCATTTAGTATCCATTTTTCAAGGATATCCTTAATTAGTAGCAATGAGTCCTTTGGGGACCCATATGCTTTTAATAACTTTTCTATATAAGGTTCTTTGGGGACCTCTATGTTTGTACTAGTTAAAGCTATTTTTAACATTGTTAGGTTTTGAATGTTCACCTTTTTCAAATCTTTTTGTACCAACATAGTTAAAAGAAGCTTTAAGATCATCAAGTTTCTTTTTATGATCATCATAAACTTTTGAAAGTAAGTTATGCAAGTCTTGATTTTTCTTTTCAAACTCTTCAAGTTTGACTTGCATATCTTTGACTTGACTTTCAATTTCAAGATTAGTCTTAGAAAGAAGAACATTTTCATCTTTCAATTTTGAAATATTTTATCTTTCAATTTTGAAATATTTTTCTTATGCATAGAAATTATGTTCTCAAATTCTAAGGTAAATTTATCATAAGCCTTTTGCAATTTATCAAAAGAATACTCATTTGAAATAGATGAATTAGAGGTTACCTTAGAATCATCCTCTATGGCCATGAGATACAAGTTGGCTACTTCTTCCTCCTCTTCATTGCAGGACTCATCATCAATCCATGTAGTTACATGTGCCCTGTGTTTCTTCTTGCAAGATCCCTTCTTCTTCAATTGTCGACAATCATATTTGACATGTTTGGGCTTTTTGCACTCATAGCAAATAATATGATCTTTTTCCTTATAATCATTATGGAATCCCTCTTTTCTTTAAAATATTATTCTCTTGTTAGATCTTATGAATCTCTTGAATCTTTTGGAAAACATTGTCATTTCTTCATCTTTATCATCATCTTCATTTGAGTCATTGTAGATTTGAGAGCAACACCAACCTTTTTTTTTCTTTTTCATTTCATTTTTTTCTTCACCTTTCTTCTTTTGTTCATCTTCTTCCTTTACTATCATCTCATGAGTATGCAAAAACCCAATGAGCTCGTCAAAAGTGAGAGTCTTGAGATTCTTTACTTATACTATAGCGGTCTTCTTAGATTACCATGATTTAGGAAGACTATAGATCATCTTCCTCACTAGTTTCTCATTTGGGATGACTTTACCAAAACCTTTGAGACCATTGACAATAATAGAAAATCCATCGACCATAACTTTAATATTTTCATCTGGTCTCATCTTGAAGTTTTATAATTATGATTGAGAAGACTAATCAAAGTTGTTTTACTGCATTAGTTCCTTCATGAGTGACTTCAAGTTTGTCCTAAATATCCTTAGTATTGGAACAAGATGAAACTCTTTCATATTCATCATGTCCAAGTGCACAAAATAGAATATGCATTTCCTTTGCATTGAGTTGGAATAATCTCCTTTCTTCTTCACTTTATTATACCATAACTCTAGTTAGAGTAGAATGAACACTCATCATGATGCTTCATGCTCCCAAATTATTTGCTTGAATGAAGAGCATCATCCTATTTTTTCAATAGGAATAGTTGGCTCCATTGAAGTATGGAGGCTTGCTGATGGGTTGAGAATCATTAACGATGTTGAAACTTGATGTAGAGGCCATGAATGACTTGACTCTTTTAGGATCTTTTCAAGAGTTGGTAAAACCTTTCAGTGAGTCTAGCTCTTATACCAATTGTTGAGTTAATCGAACCAATGAAATGGCAAAGAGGGGGAGTGGGTGATGTAAGCTTTTTGCAAGAAAATGCAAAATTTGACACAAGAAATTTTAGAGTGGTTCAACTTCTTCAATGAGTCTACATCCACTACCTTAGCTTCCACACTAAGGATTTCAACAAAATTCACTAATTTGTTCAAACCTTTTAGGACAACGTTTAACCTTACAACACACTTAGACTTATACCCCAAGTCTCAAGTGTATAAACCTTCCTAAGAAGAAATTACAAATAGAAAATTTTGAAAAACTCTTACAAGGTATGTGTTTGCAAAATTTAGAACAACTAGAACACTTGAAAGAATGAAACAAAGAAGTACAAAAGTGTTCTTAAAAGCAAAATGAATGTTTAAGAATATTTACTTGATTTTTTTTACTCTGTGTGATTGATTTGGCTTTCTCTGTGATCTTTTGTCTTTACATATAACTTGAAATCTTGTTTTTATGCCCCTTTATTCAATTCTAGCCGTTTGAGCTGTTGTGGGAGTTAATAGAGCTGTTTGGATGAAATTTCCCGCAATAAATTATGCCCATACGCCTTGAGTACCAGTACTTAGTCTTGTAGTATCGGTACTACCTGCATTAAATACAAAATCTAGTCGTTGGTGAGATGGGAGTATCGGTACTCCAACATGAGTATCGATACTTGAGCAGTACCGGTAAGAAATTGGCTATTGGAATTTGCATTTGCCAAAATCACAAAGGGAGTATCGGTATCAGTATCAGTACCACATGAACAATATCGGTACTATTCTTGCAGCTAAAAAGAGTAAGGAGTACAAATGGAGTTTTTGCTCTTAAAAGTAATTTCCATATTCGAACAATTAAATCGAATATAAACTTAAAAATTGAATCGAAAATAATCTCAAAATTTCTTTAATATATTTTTTTTTTGGTTATAGCAAAACATAGCTAAACAAAATTTAAGTATCATGTGATATATTATTTTATTTACTTATATTATATATATCATTTTGCATATGTTCTTAAATGCTAGGTGTAAATATGTTTGTTTATACATATAGGTCTAGGTTTTAATTATTTTAATTAATATGCATGATACTCTCCATAAGTATTCCTCGACTCGAATCAAATAATTGGACTAAGTAGAATACCCTTTTATTTTAGAATTGTTGTGAAATGTTTGTCTTGACGCATAAGAATGTCATTTCCAATAGTTTTAAAATAAAGGGGTATTCTATTAAGTGAAACCTAAATAACGATTTCACTTCAAATTTAAGAATGAGAGAAAAAGAAATATGTATTATTTTGTGTGTGTTTAAAGAGGGCTCTTGAATTAAACTATATTCAAATGTATAAGTTTTATTACAAATACAACTAATTAATTAATTAGATACCGATTTATGACATTGTAGAGTGTTAAACATTCCCCACGCGTAATTGACTCTAGAACTCAATTTTTTGTTAACATGGACTTGAAAATTATTGTTTTAATATAATTAAAATTTTATTTTATTAGAATGACACATTTATTTTGCATGTCTAATCACATCTAATCAAAGATGGTGGCGAATCCGTGAACCGATTTTACGATTTTTAAATTCAAGTCCTAAATTAATCGAGATAACCACTTATAAAATCCAGATTTTATTCGACGCTGATTTAAAAAGAACGCCTCGACAATAGTTGTTCTGAATAGGAGTTATTTTTAAATATTATTGAACAACAATTGTTCCAAGTATAACGATTTTAACAATGTTTATTCTTCCAAAACCAATATTAAGTGAAACAATGTAAAAAAAAAATCCCATGAAATTCTCCAAATAAAAACACCACAAAATAATAGTTGCAAACAAGTGGAAACCCATTATTTGCACATTTTCCACATCGATTCCGACAGGACTTTAGAACATTTCCGGACCAGTGGGGAGATAACTAGACCGGTAAAGAAGACAGATTGGATGGAAAGACATTCATAATCAAAAGCACTGGGGAAGTAAGGGTGACAGTATTTCCATACGGCAACAGAATTGTCATTGGAAAAATATTGGCATATATTCTAAGATCATAAATCATATATGGTGGCAGCGAGGTAAGAAAACATTTCTACTGCAAATGGAGAACAGTATTAACAGATTCCAAGTAAAGTGACAATGAAATTAGTATAACTAGAGGTTAGAAGTGCTTCAAATATGTTACTCCCTTCTTTTAAACTTGGACATGCGAGTGCAGAGTGAAGTTGTTTTTTTTGGCCTGAAACTTGGAAAGAACTTACTACTGCATGGATTACACCTCGAATGGCTAAATAAATACTCTTTTCTATGCCTTATAAAATCAAGCATGACTTGTATCTTTCATGAAAATGTTGAATACATCAATGTAGCATATCTTACTATAACGTGGATAGAAAAGAAGCAATAAAATAACACCATACTTAGGTTCCACCGATCAGAATAAGGTTAAAAGGCAATGGAAATTCAACAAGTATATTATGAAGGGGTTATTTCATTTTTTTTATTAGAAGAAAATAAAAATATTATTAGAAGAAAAAAACACCCTCAAACCTTCCCCGTCCCCTTTTCCCTCCCCTTCCTCCCTCCTTCCATGGTCAAACGGCCAATCAAATGATGAGTATTTGGGATTTTAGGGATTAGAATTTTAAATTTAGGGATTTGAGAATTTTGGGTTTTGAGATGATAGTAAGAGTTGTGACTGATCATTGGATGGTCTGTGACGTATGGGTAGTCGGTCTCCGGCAAATGGGCGGCCGGAGATGACCGGCGGTTGGAGTAAATGAGACTAGAATAAAAGATTTTAAGAGTTTGAGGTTTTTTTATATTTTAAAATAATTGGGACTTTTTCGAAAATAAATTATTTCATAAAATACAGATTTTTATTGAATAGTTATTATGTTCATTACTTTTTTTTTATGATATTATTTAATACTAAAAGTTGATTTAAGCGTCCAGATCATTTAGGTGTCACTAATTTGATTTTCTGTTTGGTTTTTATTTATTTATTTTAAAAATTGGTTAAATTTATTTGAATTTCTTCCCATTCAAAGAAAGAAACATAAAATTAAACGGAAATTTTCTCTTCCAAAAAAAATAGAAGAAATTATTTAGGAAACTATTTTGTGGGATTTTAGGAAATTCATATAATATTTAAAAAGATATAATATCCTAATCCTATATTCAAAATTCAAATCCAGCCGCTCCAACGGTCATATCATCTAGGGTTTTCTTCCTTCATTTGCACCTTTAAAAGGCCGCATTTCTTCTCTCGTCTCATCCAAACCAAACGAATTTCTCAGTTCCTTTGATCTTTGAAAAACAATGGATTTCCAATGCCTTACAAGGAAAGAGCTCCAGTTTCTTTGCAAGAGAAACAAAATCCCAGCTAACATTACTAACGTTGCCATGGTTGATGCTCTCAACGCTCTTGAGCTGGTAAGCCTTTTTTTTTATTCTTTTGGATCTGCGTTTTTATATATGTTTCAATCTTTGAAATTCCTATTTATTTTATATCTCATGACAATCAATTTTTTGGACTTTAATCAGGTGAAAAATAACATTCCTGGATTCTTTAGTCATGATTCTCGTGAAATGGTTTTGTTTGGTTTCCAAGAAAACACGGGAAAAGCAATAATGCTACTGAGTACTGAAAAAGGAAAATGAACTTTTTTCCCCCTCAAGAATCCGTTTACCAGATTTTAATATCAGATGAAAAACTATCATTTGTCTGGTAAACCGTTATTTTATTCTTTAATCAATGAAAGGGTTTTGTTTGATTGCCAAGAAAACGTGGGAAAAACAGTAATCTTATTGAAAAGGAAAGAAAATGAACTTTGTTTTCAGTAATCCATTTAACCAGATGAAAAGTATCATAGTAATATTTTTTATTGTGAAAAGATTCTGTTTGGTTGCCAAGAAAACATGGGAAAATCAATCATTTTGTTTGGAAGAAAAGAAACTGTTTTTAATTACCTGATATTAATCTCAAAGGAAAAAGAATCAATTTCTTGGAACTAGAAAAATGTGACCTTTTTCAGAGGAAAATATTCATTTTCTGTATTAATGATTGTAACAGGTTGAAGGACTTGAGGAGCTGCAGAATCAATCTCAATCCCCAGGAAAGACTGTGAATAAGGAAATTCTTGGTACTGTTACCCGGACTTCAACTAGTAGAAAGCCCAGCAAGGAAGAACAAAGCACACAATCAACCATCCGAACCCGAAAAACTGCAAGAAAAACAATGGCAGTGGAAGAAGAAAACAAGAACTTGAATATGCCTGAGGTTGAGGTTAAGGATCAGAGGAAGAGTGATGTAGTTGAGACTCCATTGCCAAGTGGTAGGAGCAAAGTCAAGGCTCAGAAAGAAGGTTCATTGCAGCCTACCTACAGTACAAGGCGGTCGGTGAGGTTGCTAGGGAAGAGCATGACTGGATTGAGTATCAAGGAGAGTGAGAAAATGCCTGCAAAGGTTGATGAAATGGTAGAAGGTGAAGATGGAAGAAAAAATGGTCAATCTGGTAAGTTTATTTTTTATGAATGAATTTGAGATTCCATTTTCAGGTTTTTAATTTGATCATCTCACTTGCAGGAGCTACACTAGAACTACCTTTGGCTCGGAATTTAAGTGTATCTCTTGAAGATGAAAGGGAATTGAAAGATGATGTTGAATGTGTCAATGTAGAAACTGATGAGAAGACTGAACTAGAAAGTGATGACAAGATTGCAGATGATCCTCTTGGAATCATAGATCCAAAGGGTATGAAAGCAAATTATTCCACTCTTTAACCATCTTAACATGCCAAACACTGTAATTTGTGTTTTCAAGCCATTTATAATTTTCTCTTCGGAAATGGTTGTTGTTACACTTGCAGATTCTGATAATAGTGCTGTCTCTGAAGATTCCATCAACTTAAATGAGGAATTGGTAGCTGATAAGGCTGATGATGTTGCTGTTTCCAATGATGCATGCGAGATCGAGAACTTAAATGAGAAATCGGTAGCTGATGAGACCAAGGAAGCTTATGAGGAACCGGTTGTTGATGAGACTAAATCAATTGCAGTACTGATTGCAAATGTTGACGATCTACCTGAAGAAGTTTCTGATCATTCTTCATCAGCAGATATGGAGGCAATGCATAATGATGTAACCATACTTCCGAAAGCTGAAGAGCATGCTGATGGTGATGTATCTCAAAACGTTTTGGTTCTCCCTGCGGAAGGTCATATGGATTCCTCAAAAGAGAAGGGAAATGAAGAATCTAATGATGATGATACATTCCTTGGCGACTATGACATCAAGAATGACACAGGATCTGAAAGTAAATCACTAGCTGAAGAGCAAATCACTGCTGATGCTCAAGTGTTCCAGATCTCCCTGCAGAAGTTCATATGGAATCCTCTGCAAAAAAGGGAAATGAAGAATCTAATGATGATGATGATGCATTCCTTGGTGATTCCAACATTGATGATGACACAGGATCTAACAGCAAATCATCAACTGATCAACTACAAGAGGAAGTTTTATGTGAACAAGAAGGTAGAAGTATTCCAACAGGTGCCTACAGCTATGAGGGCCCAAGGAATATGGTGTATGAAAAATCTGAAGAAACTGTTGATGATGGTGATGATGACAGCAAAGTAGATGAAGAATCTGATGATGATGATGAGGCATCATCTGAGGATTCCATGACAAACATGGTGTCTGAAGAAGCATCAGTTGATGCAAATGTAACCGAAGCTGAAACCACCCTTGTGAGTTCATTCCACAGAGCTTCCCAATCTATTGTGGATGATATAGCTCAGAAGATGGTAGACTATGGTGGTTCCGAAGCATTAATCAATGTCTGCATAAAGCCAGCGGAGGAATTTGCAGACACAACTCCTGTCTCAAACAGTGAGACTATTACAACCTCAATGCCGCTGTCGTCACCATCGAAAGCTCAATTTTCGCAGCCAAGTAAATCTTCAAACAAGGAACAGACAACAGTGGCCAAGACTCAAATGTCGGATAAGCTTAACAAGGAGAACAATGTGGAGAAGGAATTAGCGAAGCAGAAGTTGGAAAGTTTGAGTTTAAGACGACTAAAGAAGCTAAACAAGATGTTTGACAAACTAGAGATCAGTCATAAGGTGAGGTGGTAAAATATTAGAGCTTTTAAATGCTTTCAAATGCTTCAGTGTTAATAATTTCATTTATTTCTTTTTGCAGTTGCAGCAACCATGTGGAAAGAGCAAGAGACCAGCCTTGCAAATGTTGCCACAGAATTCGATGAAGAGTGAAGATGATGAGTAGCAAAACTGAAACAGACATTGCAAATGTTGGCCTTGCTATTTTTGAACAACAATGGTTTCTTGCCTTGTGTTTTCCTTTCCATTATTTTGCTAATAATGAGTCGGTCCTAAGGTGTAAGAGAGACCAATTTTGCTTTATCAAATGTTTGCATTCATTTCTTACCTGATTCTCTCGGCCCCCTTTCTTTGTGGTGCACAATTCATTATTTTGCTTAGTTGATTGTTTTCTGAATACTGGGAGTTGGAGATAATAAAAAAAGAAGAATCCTTAAAGGGACATTACAAATAGATGCTTATAATTTCAATATGCTATTTGAATATTTTTTTTAACTAGGTGAGTAAATTATTTCATGTGCATAGTTTTGAAAGGCACTAGGCACACCAAGACGCAGAGAATCACTTTTTATGCTAAAATCTTAATTGGTTAAGAGCAAAGCATCTCATGGTGTACACTACTTCACATGCTTGCGTTGCCAAACCTAATTGTATTTGTAGCCAGCGTTGATTTAGATCTTTCACAACCCATAGGATTCATGCACATGCACTTAGAGAATGTGCAGTTGACTCCATTAATTAGGCCGACTCAGCCATAACTGTATTATTTCAAAAGTCCTTGCTCTTCTTTGAGCTGTTTACATTTTTTTTCTCCAGTTGGTGCTTTTAACTTTCAATAAATACACGAGTCTAGGAGAGCTTCCCATTATGCACGACGCCCTTCACTCCAAAGAAGTTCCCATCTATGTTGCACACTAATTTAGGTGAAATTATTTCGATAAAATAATTTTATTATGAGTCAACACGTAGGAGACAATCATGCAATAGAAGTTTAGTATTTATTTCTCAAAAGAAATCACTCTTCATATTAAAGGATAATATTTGCACGCATAGGTCTCGTGGTAAACATGGCAAATAAATAACAATGCAGGGAAAGCATAAAACAACCAACGTGGTAAAAAAAGAAATACGATGAATATTAAATAACATTGGCAGTGATTTTTAAGGCAATTTGATTACAAAAGTAGAACGCTTCCTACCGACATTAATATTTACCTACTAGCTAACTCTTGGTTGTTTACCAGTTAATGAAGGATTTGATGAACTCGAAGGATTCTGAGACCCGTTATCTTGAGATGGCTCGACCACATGCACCGCCCCGTCACTCATCCCCAGCGCAATCTGGTTCACTTCTGATGGGTGAGCAGCTATGACCACGGCATACGCTGCACCATTGCTACCGCTGCAGAAAAGTTGTTTTTCATTTCTTGGTCAGCCATGGTACCTTTACAGAGCTTAAACATTGTATGTAAAATTATCATATGGTCATTATCTTTCACCTGACTGGTAATGAAGGTATATATGCGGAAGGCGCTATTCGACATCTGAGTCTCAAATTGTCTGAATCGAAAACTGCAACAGCGCCATCACAAAAACCAGCATAAACCAGTGAGCCATCGCAGGAATATATTGCACTCGAAATGGGAGCATTGAGCACCTCTTTCGGAGACCACTGCAAGAATTACACAATCAGTGGTTTATATATCATATCATCGGAAGAATTCCCAAGGATATCGAAAATGAATAAAACAATATATATGAATTATCATCATGCACAGACAACTACTAAACTCTCGTGCAATTATGGTGTTATAGTAAAACTCGTTAAAGTTCTGCAAAATTATGAACTAAAAACATTCAACTAGCAAAAAACCACTTACACGACTTTGGTCGGTCGTATCATATTGCAAATGGGCAACAATTTCATGATTTTGAATTGAATATTAACTTATGTATTCATATTTTAGATTGAAAGGCATAAGTATCTCTAGATCATCGATATTGGCTTAATTATACTTGAAATACCCCTCATTGTCGGAGCACAATTCAATTTCAAAATTTCAACCAGACAGTTACAACCGATGCTAGAGTTGCCCTTATTACCACATTAGTTGTGATCTCAGAAACGAGTTCCCGAAAGAAAAATGAGAAATTACTATGCAAGGAAAATAATGTGAGGTAGGCAACTTACGAAGCGCAAACACTCGAGCTTGCTGTCATAAATGGCTATTTGGCTTTCATGGACAACCAACAGATGAGTTTGGTCATTGTGAAACTGGACTTTGGTTTCTCCCGCTAAAGGAGATTGCCTACCAGCTGGGTCTTGTATGAACTTTGATTTCTTTTTATCCCATCCATCTATGCTCCAAACACACAGCTACAAGGGAAACAGTCGTATTAAACAAGTTGGTTAAATTACTTGTCACGTGGTACTTGGACCCGGGGATGAATTGAGGATATGGGTATGTGTCCAACATGGTATACTCGATTATTTTCTAATTTTGTCCATACACTTCGAAGATGTAAATATATGTCGGACACAGATACTCTTAGGGAAAATGAAGAGCCAGATTAACATTAAAGTTAAAGACACTAAATACAAGGGCAACATAGAATTAACGATATATCTACTAAAGTTGCATCATACGGTATTTGTTCAATCAATAATTAACCTGTGCATCAGCTCCTGAAGACACCAGAGAATTCAAAGTCTGCGAAAAGGCAAGTCCGGTTATCCGATTTTGGTGGCCCTTGAGTTTGGTTTTGACCTGCCAAAACACATCCAATGGCATACAAAAACTTAATAGTCAATATTATTAGTGAGCTGCTACAATGAGCTTTAGCTTCTCGTGAAATATTTTAGCATTTATATTTCGAAAACCACCAAACGGTCACATGTATAAACAAAATAGTTTCTACAGAAATCCAAGCTAGAAATAATACTTCACCTCATCAACTCGGACATTGTAAATTTGAATCGTGGAATCTTCCATGCCAATCGCAATAATATTATTGTCTTGCGGATGAAATGCCAAGAACGTGGCTTCTGGAGGCGGGGACATAAAGGTGGTCATCACCTGTTAAGAATTAACCACATAAGTCATGCGGATACCTTCAACGAACAAATAAAATCAGAGTTTTAAGTGAAAACTGAACTCACCTTAAATGTCATCATGTTGAACAAAGAAACCTTCCCTCCTGATGCAGACATAACATAAGAATCATTTTTAGATAGCGCAATACAGGCAGCAGACTCTTCAGCAGGTTTAGTCTCATTTATATCATTTGCATAGGAGTGCCACTAGGTGGCTGCCACAATTGTGGTGCAACGTATGCAGTAGCCTTCAAGTATTAGAGATGGACAAGTATTAGAAATGTGTTTAATACTAAGAATATGGATTTTCTCATTTAAAGACACAAGACGAACCTTGCCTAAGGGACTCCTTTCACTACGTTGCCATTTCCAAAGCTTGTGAACAGCATTCGAAGCAAGGGCCAAAAGAGCAAGACCAGAATTGGTATACAGCAGCCTAACCACCTGCAATTAAAGGTCACCAATCCTCGATTACAGGAATATATAAAGCCAAAAGTAGGACAAAAATAATATAAAACAATTCTCTAATAGACGAAGATTATACATGCATAAGACATAACTGATGTACAAATATATGGATGCATCCATCTATGCTACATTACAATTAAACTTTTTTTTTTTTAAATGTTACAATTTAACTTAATTTCTCACTACAGGTTAAGCATAAAACAGTAAAATTAATGCATATATCACATCACAGTCTAATTTTTTAAATTAAGCTATTATCCCGAAGCATGTTGGAAGAGACTAAAAGAACCGATGTATAGATGACCAAGTATTCCATCATTCCTCCTATAATGGGTGTAACAACAGGCTAAATATGACAGTTTTGCTTAGAATCAAATATCTAGGAAAGGAAAATAATTTTTTTGAAGGCAGAAAACGAAAATAATTAAGCAAAAAGATAGCATCCAATCATTCAAATGTTCTTCTCAATTTCCAAAAAGCTATAAAACTATGTTACCCAGATTTAGGTGTAAGTAATAGACATTGGTATGTGTCTAACACGGTATATTCAATTTATTTTTTCAAGATTTCCAAGTATTTGGAAGGACCGAGGATCACATCCCTATACCAGTTTTCAAGCAAATGTTGAACACAAGCATCGAGTACGGATGCTTCAAGAAAAGTGAAGTGTTGGGGTACCGTATATATAAATTAATATGCTTCCAATGTGTTTATATCATCTCTTTTACTGCTTAAACCAATGAACAGAAAAACCACCAAAATATGTGCCCCTACTGAATACATGTATAAAGTATCTTATTTTTGGCATGCATCGGGATGGAGGGCTAATGCTTTTTATATACCACAAAAGTAGCTATTATCGAGCCAGATTCAAACCCTGTTCTGTACAGCATGAATGAGATATTACATTAGGTACCAGGTTCAAACATGCCAAAGAATCTCATCCGACAGAAGATTGAAAAGGTCAAGAAGTTAAACAACCCACAAATAAATATCAAAATAAAACCAAGGAAAGAAGCCAAGCATTGCCATCATGCGAGTAAGTTTGTTACGAAACAACGATACACTGAAATCTGACTACCAATTGTTCTTCATACCTTTCCCGCTGTTATGGCATCAGATAACCGTAGGACTTTCAGGTGAGATGGGTCATTAATGTCAGGAATTCTCCAGCTCTTTACCTTGTCTGAATCATCAGAAATTCGTGGTTTAACATCCACAAGCCTGCTGCTGTCCATGGTACCCTACGAAGTACATCCAAATGAAATTAGGAATCCTGGTAACACCAAAGAAAAAATGCAACTGAAACAGCAGGCTGAATTTACAAGGCTTCCAATATATACAGGAGTGGAGACTCTATCCGGGCGTTCAAGGGATGGTGCAATGGCAGCATTTCCAACAGGACCAAGAGCATTAATGATCAATGGCTGTAGAAAACAAAGTTCGAAAGAAGTTAATAAGTAACATATTAGCAACATAGAAAGAATATTCACAAAAAAAAAAGACATGCAGAGAAAGCCGTAAAGATTCTGAAGCCATTTGCGTTGAAACAATCAAGAATTTCTACCCTTTATGCAGTATGACAAACTAGCAATGAGTTTATTTTGCTATGCTACCGGATATTGTAAGGTCAAACAAAGATATTATATTATTCCTTGTGATTGCATTGTGTAATAGTCGTAAAAGAGTCTCCATGGAAAAGCATCTTTGCTTAAGGTCATTATAATAGAAAAGTGCTACACATGGACCACAACCAGCCTAAAACCAAAAGACCAAAACCACAAAAGATAACGCAACCTAAACATCTCTGAAGAAACATAATCCATAATCAACCGATAGATTCACTGAAAGCACACAGTAAAAGCCTAAAACCATGCCTTCTATTCCAATATTCCGGCCTTTTTCCAGTAAGAAAGTCAACCCCCAAAAATCACACACAAACATGCACTAAGCAATGTCTCCTAGCAAGTTTAACCACCAAACCAACAGCACATGCAGTTCTAGGATATTTTATATCCTCCAAGGACGTGAGTTACATAGCCTTATTTAGATAAGACAATTGCCAAATCCAAGGAATAATTGCAAAGCAAAAAACTACCTTAGAATTAGCAGGTTCAGATGGGCCTCGATTTTTATCAACAGCCCTACTCTCCAACATCTTTATCAAGCGTGATCCATCACTGTTAGCCAAGATTTTGATACCATTATCGCTCGTTGTAACAGCCAACAATGAACCTTCCTTGTTGAATCTTAGTCTGGGACTGGCCTGTAAAAGGATCAGAACAGACTATTATGACATGCAACTTAACTACCAGAAATAGAAGGAGAGAAAAACATGTAACAATACTAACAGGCAACCCGCCATCTGCATCAACAGCTGTCAACATGGCAGTATTATCCATGTCCCAAAACTTAATCTGGAATTCATCACCAGCTGCTAAGAACCTGTTCCTCGTTGTGTCGAACTGGACAACACCTAAAGAATGCTTCCTAAAACCAGAATATGTTCTTTTGATCACTCCTTCACTCTCGTTCCATTCAACCAAATGGGATTCTCCATCTTTACTTGTTCCACAAGAGAAGAGCCTGCAGGAATAAATCAGAGTTTCTGTTCACATATGCATATTACACATTATACATATGTTACAAAGCTTGAAGATAAATAACATCGAAAGTAACCTTACAAAATTGGAAACAACCAGAAATTGACTATCTTTGGGGTGAGATGAACCACAGAAAAAAACCCCAACAATCTTCTTAATTTGAAAGAGTTCTAATGCATTTGAAATGCCAACATCTCAATGCATAATTATGCAAATATTATGTGTTGCAACATTATTGATTATAATTTCAAATAAAAAAGGTAAGGAAAGAAAGAAGGCATTGAACAAATTAAAAAATTTACCTAGTTCCATCGTCACTATATGCCATTGTTGTACACCAAAGTCCAGGAGCATCATAGTCCACTCTAGATCCTAGGCAATCATATAACCAAGCTTTAATCTTCCCATCAATGGCAGTGGAAAAGATAAACTGCTCATATGAAAGAGTTCACAGATATTACGTGGATGGAAAATGACCCAACCATGAACGACCACATAGAAGCAGAAATTAAATACAACTGTATTAGTAATTTTTATGTGAGATTTACCTGAATATTTTCCTTATAATGAGGGCAAACAGAATATACAGGAGATTCATGACCTTCAAAAATATGAAGTCTACGTCCAGCTACAGTGTCCCATACCTGCCAAACATGAGACCTTTTCAATACCGGCAAACCCATTTTCTTCAACTTAAGAAAACTAAAGAGTAAAAAGTTGATACCTTAATCATCTTATCGTCACCACATGTGACAATGCATAATTGCTTGTTGGGATAAGCAAATGCTATGTCATTAACACCTCCAACATGAGCATCAATCTAGAAGGTATAATAAGCTGTTAAGAACCTTTTTTTTTTGCAAGTTTCAACAGATATTATAACACATTGTGACAAGCTTACCTCCAAATGCTGCCTTAATTCTCCAGTTGGATTATACTGATATATCTGGACTATATGCTTTGAAAATGCAACACCTATAGAAAAAGCAATACTTAATTCAAGAATAGATACAAGTAATTTCAAGGAGGGGAAGACAGAGAGATCAAACGGTATTTAAGTTTCAAACAGCAAACAGAGGGAAGTATACCGAGCATAAGTCCATCAGGTGCCCAGACACATCGATTGACTGATATCACAGCATCATTCAACAGAGCCGTCTAGGGTAGAATAAATACAAAAAGAAAGTATCACACCGAAGTTAACTGATATCACAACATCATTCAACTTTCAAGCCCATATTTGTCCATGTTTTATGTGGTGGGAAGGTAGAATCCATCAAATATAGATTATACCATTGCCACAACAGAAAAATCTGTAAGGGTCAATAAAGAAAGATGAAATGGTAAAAACCAGAGGAAGTTATATGGTACCTGCAAAGGCATGGAAGCAGCTGTGATATCCCAAACCTTGAACAGTTTATGGCTCAATCTTTCCCGAGATCCTACTTCCCAAAGGCCGATGTCACCAACATTTGTGCCAACTAAAATAAAAAGGTTAAACCGTCAATAAATCAGCAATGAATGCTAATCTTTTTTAGAATTTTCAAAGCAAAATGGCATGAAGAAGAAAATATATATTTACATAGGAGAATAGTTTGTTGTTGAGGATGAAAGTCCATGCTCATGACATTAGATCCTTGATTAAGGGCCCGAACAACGGTTTTTGGAATGTCATCCTGTGAGTATACATTGGGAGTATGTGCGATACCATAAAAGGATACCTGCAGAAGCCATGTGTCAGCACATTCTCAGTACTTAAATGGAGGTAAGAAGAAAATAATAATGTCAAAAAATAACTGAGGGAACCTAAGACAACAAAGGAATTGCCAAATATATCCACACCTCGTCAGGTTGGCCGGTACGAATGCGCTTCATCAAATGCTCAGAATCAGCCAAATGGTAATCCATCCCTTGCATACCAGATGGTGTCCTTGGATGCTTGAGGAATGCAGCTAAACCATCACAGAAAAATTATCAAATAAAGCAAGTTTACTGAAACATTATTTCAACAGAGACACCAAACGCCAACGCATTGTACCCACCTGCATTAGAGGGTTGGACAAGACCAGGGGGACCTGCTGCCACAGCTGCAGCATGAGGTAAAGAAGGATTACCACTTGAGATCCAACCCGCAATAGCACCAGAGGATGGGGAAACAACAGGCTGAAATGACTGCACATCGGAGTCGTATAAGAAATTTTTTAGAATGTTTCATATATTTTATATGAGAAATTAATACAAATACTTACACCATGGGCACCAATAGGAGGGAATGCCCCAGCCCTAGGAATTGGTCCAACAAGGGGACTGCTAGTCGGAGGAGGAGGTCGAGCACCATTAGTAGTGGGAGAACAAGAATGATCCATAAAGAGAGTTTTAATGTCAGGTTGAACGAGGATTTTTGCAAAGCTGATGTTGCCAATTCAGACTGAAAAATAGAGAAAATGAGCTAACAGAGACTGAACCAATCTAGAGTCGATTGTATCAATTGTTCTATATGCCCTTTGTTAAAGTATCAAGGTACTAACTGAAACGCCAAAACCCAAACGTTGCTTTCACAATGGATAAAAGAAGAAAAGACGGAACCAAAAAATACCGAACAAGATTTAGTAAAATAACCATCGAGCGGGTAAACAATAACCTCTGGTTTATTAAGGTCCTCAGTCGTGAACTCTTAAAAGCTGGGAATGCAAGCTTATCGTGAAATAAGGGGTTCGCTTCAATGAGCTTCTTAAGCTCTACAAGCATAATATTTCGAGCGGATTTTGTGTCACCATATTTTGAAAGCTGCTCATTTTTTCTGATAACAGAAAACAAACAGCAAAATTTAGCTTAATTCAATCAGGTAACTGTCAAGAGCAGGGTTTCAAAAACGGTCCGCGACCGCGATTTCGTCCGCGATATAGCGGCTTCACCGCTGTCCGAGTTACCCGCGACGGCCGCAATTGCGCCCGCGACGGCCACAATCACGGTAAATCCGAAATAACCGAAAACGCGACCACGATTTGAAACCCTGGTCAAGAGCAAAAAGAAAGCACAAGTACACACCTAAAGTTATCAAGAGTAAGCAACTGGGTAATCTCCTTAAAAAGTTCCTCATTGAATGATGCAAAAACCTTCAGATCCTTAAAAAGAATTTCTACAGCTTTTGCTCGATCCTGCCTGATAGAAGATGATGCATAGATTAACTCCAAACTTAAGAAAGAAGCATGAGAGAAAACTGCATAAAAGCCACGTAAGCCTTGGGCTGAAAAATGTTCCTAAGTTCAAGATAAGCTACCTCTGCTACTCTATAAAGTGTCCCTTTGACATCATCCGCTTTGGAAATTTATAAGTGTAAGAAGCACAAAGTTTGCAAATCCTAGACATTGACAAGCAAGATATTAATCGCAATACATTATGTGCTCACCTGTCAAGAGCTTCCAAATACTTCTGCTTCCTAATTTCAAAGAAAATCTTCATTGAGTAGCGATTATCTTCAACCTTCGTAAACCCACACAGATAACGCTCAACTTCGTCCCATTCACCAGCCTGGACTTGATCTTCAAAATGTTTCATATTGAAGAAAAAACCAGACTCCTGTTCTAACCTAGAATATGAGCACACCATCACCAAGCCACATGCAAAAGCACACAATAAAAGCTATAAGCGTCGAATGCCAAAGCAAGGATTAGTAGAAACGTATTCAAAAGTGAATTAACTCGAGCCTATCAAACTGCCAGGGAATGAAAATAAAGGTATGAATAACCGAAAGGCCATGTTCTTGTTTTACATTTTTTCCCTTTTTCTTTGCCACTAATAAAGCCATTTCTATAATGCCAAACAAATATACATGATTTTCTCCATTGCAATTTGCAACACAAAAAGGCATTAGCTAACATGATGGAAATATGCTCTTCCCTCTGTCAGCCATAGGCAAAAAAACTCTTAAGTCATTATCATTCTAACCTAGCTCAACAGCCAAAAAGTTCAAATGAACCAACATAGCAAAATGAAGCAAAGAACTTACTTATGAACAGTTTCCTTGAGCTTTTCCTCATCCAGGAACTGTAATATCAAAACACCAGCTCCCTACTCAAGGAAGACATTGTCCCGGGTACTCCTAGTCGCTCCAGCTCAAAGATTAAATGATGAACCAAGAAATCAACTTTTTTTAAAAATTAACACAAAAACACCTTACAACACCAACAAAACCCAATAATTGAAAAGGCCCAAAGAATACCCAGAAAATGGCATTCCTTCAACTCCCTTCTTCAATACTTAATTTCTAATATCACTCATTAAACACTCTACTTTCACTGCTCCCACAAACCAACCATTCAAGTTGCTTTGGCCAAAACAACAAAAACCCAAATTGTTAAAAACAATAACCAGGCCAAAGAACCCTTTGAAGACCTCTTTTACAAGCAAACCCCAACCTTCACATGAACCCTAATTTCCTTTAACCGTAAATAAACGATCCAAAAAACTGAAGCAACAAAGTGTGAGAGTTAGATAAAGCTTGAACTTCACTCACAACAAAAAGTCTGAAACTTTCAAGTTTTATTTGTGTACACTAAGAGAAAGAGCTAACCAAAGAACCAAAAAGAGTATAGTTTGCCCTTTGATGTAACACCATGAAAGAGCAAGCAGAGTAAAAAACTATAACAGGGTTAGGTTTTTTTTCTTTTTTACTTTGTTTTTCTCCTGCAACAACCTTAACTTTTGTCTGAAAAATAAAATTAGAAAAGGGTAAACTCAAACTTTGATTCTCTTTCTCTGTCTGTATCTTTTTGTTTGCAAGATTAGGACAAAGGTCTGCTGGACTTTTTTTTTTCCTTTTCTTCCTTCTTTTTCTGTTTATGTCTCTCACACACACAAATACAAATTTGTCCGATTAATTGGTATGACAGTTGGATGCTATTTCAAATAATAGCATGCTAGAATCTATAGGGGTGTTCGGATAAAGTAATATGAGATTCTTATGGAATGGAATTAATATTTTTATGTTTGATTGGTCGGAAATCTCATTCTAAGTAATGTTTTATTATAAATAGTAGATTTTTTTAGATATATTACCGGGAATGTCATTATCTTCATTTATTTAGATGTTGCTAGATTACCGACGTTTTGGACTAAAATACCTTTAAATTTATCCTTAAAATATTTTAGATTTACAAAAAATATATATATAATTACAATTTTATATGAAGTTTAGGGATTAAAATAAAATTTTACCCTTTCATTAAATATTTTTATATTTTTAATTTATAAAAAAATAAATTTTATGAATTTAAATTTTTAAAGAAATATTAAATATTTTCAACTTGTTAAAAAATAATATATAATAAGGATAATTTTGTCAAATATATCTAATAATATTTATTCATTTAACCAAACACGGTAATCTTACATTCCTGCTAAACCAATCAAACACAAAATATAACATTCTCAGTAATCCTATTCTCTGGTAATCTTACATTCCCACTGGTAATTTTTATTTTTATTTTTATTTTTATTTTTATTTTGAAAATAACTCATTTTTCCTATCCAATAAATAGTTCAATATAATATAGTAAATGGTGTAATTGAATTTTATTTCATCTTATTTTATTACAATACTTTAAATTTATTTAATTTTCTCATTAAATTTAATATAATTAATATTTTTGGTCACTCAATCGTTAAATATTTAATAGTATTCAAAATGATACCATTTTAAAAAAACAAAAATTTTCACCGAACGACATCGTTTGCATCTATATAACATCTCATTTATAACGTCGTTTGTTAGAAAAAGATTGAGTAACCAAAATGCTAATTGTGTGAATTCAGTGAGAAAATTGAATGAATTTAAATTACAGTGAGTGAAATAGGAGAGAATAAAGTCCATTGATGATTAGTGTAATTTACCCTATAATATAATAAGAAATAGGGCGATTTTCCCGGTATATCACCGGTGATCGGTATTATTACTGATCTAACACCGGTCAGACTATATTTCCCGATCTAACACCCTTAGCAGGAAAGCGCGCCCCCTGAATCGCGCTATATGTTGATTTGGCTCCACGTGGATATAGCGCGCGCCCTATCCCGCGATATACGGTGATCTGGCGCCACGTGGATATAGCGCGCCCCCTGATACGCGCTATACTTGGATATCTGACACGTGGGGTATAGTGCGGTGCAAGGGGCGCGCTATACCTAAATACCCAACCCTTCACATCCCCATCTCCTATAAATATCCCATCCTCAATCACTTTTATCACACCAAATCTCTCAAATCTCTAAATTTCTCTCAAATACTCTCTTTTTAAGGTATATTTTATAATATTTTTATTATTATGTTTTTACTTTATTTAATATTTTATTAATATAATTCTTGTGCATATATATAATGGAAGGCAGTCTACTTCTCTCGAATGGAAATCATATATCTCTACACTTTGCTGATACGGTAACATTTTAACATTTTAATTTAATTTAAATTATTAGTAATATTTAGTTGATTGATTTAATGCATGATTATTAGATTAAGAATTAAATATCTCGACACTTTACTGATACGGTAACATTTTAACGTTTTAATTTAATTTAAATTATTAGTATAATTAGTTGATTCATTAATGCATGATTATTAGATTAAAAATTAATTTTGTAGTTATTATTTTTAGGAGAATGACCGTGTATTAGATCCTTTTATTAGGAATCTTAGTTAGTGATACCCAGCTGTGTCTTGCCGTATTATAGAGGCTGGATTCGGTTACATAGGTAGATATCAGGGTCACTGTAAGATAGAGTCAGACCTGATTTCTGCCTTAGTAGAGCGGTGGAGGCCGGAGACCCACACATTCCATCTTCCGTGTGGAGAGTGCACGATCACGCTTGGGAATGTTTTTATGCACCTGGGGCTTCCGGTGGATGGAGATGTGATATCGGGGATAACTTCCGGTTCTTGGACTACTTTGTGTCGGGATAGTCTAGGACGTGTCCCGAAAAATTTTATCGGAGGTAGGATACCGTTAAATTGGTTAGATGCCAATTTTCGGGAGTTGAGCGCAGACGCCTCTGAGGATGAGTTAAGATGTATGCACGGGCATGCATACTGCAGCTGATAGGAGGGTTGTTGATGCCGGATAAATCGCGCAACCTAGTTCACTGCATATGGTTGCGACATCTTAGCGACTTTCATCTCGCCGGATCATTCAGTTGGGGCTCGGCAGTTTTGGCTTTGCTGTACAGGGAGATGTGTGGAGCCACTGACTACAGCGTAATGCTATCGGCGGATGTCTCCTGCTGCTGTAGTCTTGGGCATGATACGATTGTCCTTTTATGTCCCGTTGTGAACCCATTCGTATTTCCACTAGGGAGGTAATTATAAACATGATTTTGTATATTAATAATTTTATACAGCGTATAACAATTTTTAATTAGATTATTATTTTGATAAAAATTATATTTTTTGTTTTAGTTTGAATGGGTGCCATATTCTACTGATGATATGAGGGCGGTGATCCCACTTGAGTTGAGGGGTCCATCAGATGTTTGGATGGCGATGGTCCCTCTGATCTGTTATGCGACCGTCGAGTGGCACTCTATTGATCGTGTGCTCCGGTAGTTTGGTTGTTTTCAACCAATTCCGAAAGCACCTCACAATATGGACGAGTTGCATAGCTTAGATAGACGCGGCAAGATAGATACATATTGGCTGGTGAGGCATCATGGGTGGGTCGTGTTGTGGGAGGATCGACATCGGCGTCTTCCCCGTAGAGAGCCCATTTTTTATGACCTTTTGATGTATGCTGAGGATTATTATGAGTGGTTCAACAGTAACGGGAAACTGTCCTATATATGATGCACCAGCAGGACCTTCCCAGCAGCCATATATGATGCCTCCATCGCCTTTCCATTACCAGATGTCGCCGCCGCTGCCTTCACCTGGTTTTATGACCCCGCCAAAACCACCGTCACAGATGACCCCTCCAGGAGGCTATTATGGTCTATGTTTGTAGATCCGACTTGGGGTTCATATGATGGATATTTGGCGGGCTCATCCTCATCACCCATGGTCGCAGCACAGACACCTCCTGTACAGTTTTCACACTCAGCGATGTCTGGGTTTTCCCAGTTTTCCCAGTTTTCGTATGCCGGTGGGATAGTCAGTCATACACCTCCAGGGTCCTTATTCTATGGAGGTGCTTCATCGTCATCAGCTCCTCATCAACCTGATGTACCTGCTCAGGACAATGACGATGACAATGACGACGATGACGATGGTGACGACGACGATAACAATGATGATGACAGCGAGGAGTCAGAACCAGTGATACGAAGAAATCCTCCTCGAGACCGACAGCCACCGCCATGCGGAACACATTCGCGACGTAGGCATCGATAGATTTTTTGTTTAATTGTAATTTTTTATTATTTCTCATTTAATACTTACTTTACTTTGTTAAATTTGTTGGACTTTTTTTAAATATATTTTAGTTAATTTTTTTTATTACCATTTAATATCAGTTATTGTAATTTGGTTATCATTTACCATTTTATTCTTATTGTAAGTTTGTTGTATTTAAATATCAAATTGTTATTAGTTTGATAAAATTTAATAATTGTGTTCATTTTTTTAATCTTCATCAGCGATTATCGAATGACATTAACTTGAAGTAAATGCAAATTAAAATACAAGAATTATTATTTGATAAACAAATACATCATTTCCTCATCAACTGTTACTTGATGAGAACAGAAGTGGACATGTTTTTCTAGTGTGTCATGGGTTTCTACAATGGTCACATCTTCTGTCTTGTCTAGATCTTTCTCGAATATCCATATCGCAATGAATTCGATTGGATTTTGGATGACCACGCTCCCTTAATAAACTCAGATTTGGTACAATCGGAAGCCAAAATTGAACCTCATCAGGGTCTTTATCATTACCTATTGGGGGAAACTCAAATTCGTATACCTTAAAAACTTCAGATAATAGGTATACGGGATCCACAAAAATGATTATAGTCTTGACGTGTATGGGAGCAAGCTGCTATCACATGAGAGCATGGATACTTCAGAGCTTGAAAAAACCCGCAGTCGCACGCTCTGTCCCTTAGATTTACTCTTAGCGACACAGCTTCAATCCCTTGAAGAGGTCGGGGCAACTCTGTGACACGAAATATTTCATCCCTTCTAGAGAAGCTTGTTACAGACATTCCATTTGATGCAGCAATTTTTTTATGTAGATCTGCAACTAATCTAGGGTGATAGACATGACTGCCTTGCATCCAGGTTTGAGCTTGTCCCCCGAGCTTCGCAAAAAGTGCCCCCAAACGAAAATATGTAGTTTTTACCAAAGCCGCTACATGTAAGTGACGTGCACCCTTTAAGGTTGAATTGATTGCCTCAGCCAAGTTGGTCGTCATGCGTCCATATCGATATCCACCATCATATGCGTTCGTCCACATTTCTTTATCGATTAGGCTGATGTATTCGTAACCTTCCTCATTCTTCGCCCGCAAATCTTGAAGCATTGATTCAAACGTTCGAGGAAGTAGTTCGTAACCTGATCAAAAAATGTATAACTTATTAACTTACTTTCTTTGCAAAATTAAAATGATCAAAAAATGTATAACTTACTAACTTGCTTTCACTTACCCATGCGCACAATTAATTGACGCTCATCATTCTTCTTGTACCTTCCATGATAGTTCGCAACAATGTGTTGGAGACAATACCTATGTTAGACAAAGGGTGGTTGCCACATTGGACCCAAAAACTCCATTGCTGCTTTGATCCCAGCTCCGCGATCTGAAATGACACAAATTTTTCCCTCGTGATGTGCACGTAAATTTCGGAGAAAAAAGCCCAAGAATCTATATCTTCTCTTCTTTCGAAGAGCAAAAGCAACTGGAAGAATGTTGCGATTGCCATC